GTGGCACCACGCACTCCTCACAAGTGCAAGGTCTTGAGTTCAATCCCTGGTACCTCAAAAAAAAAAAATACAGAAGGCATGAAAATGGTTCATGTAATACTAAGTCTGAGAAGAATGGATATCAAATAATTTAAGGAAATGCAATTAGAACAACTTTGTGCCTATTAGGTTGAGTGTAGCCAAAAAATGAAAAATAACAAGTATTGGTGAGCTTGGGCTATAGCTCCGGGGTAGGTAGAGTGCTTGCCTAGTGTTCACAAGGCCTGTGCTCCATCTCCAGCACTGCAAAGAAGAAAAAGTATATTGATGAGGATGTGGAGAAACTGAAACTCTCACGCAGCGTGGATGGGAATCTAAACTGGTGCAGTTACTGTGGAAAACAGTTCAGTAATTCCTCAAAAAGTTAAACATGCATTACCATGTGGCCTAATAATTCCATTCTTATATAATACCCCCAAAAATTGAAATGAGGGATTTAGACACGTTCACACCACTGTTTACTGCAGTATTATTCCAAAAAGTAGGATAACCCAAATGTCCATCAACACCAGATGTATGCATAAACAAAGTGTGAGGCGTCCTTACAATGATACATCATTCAGCTATAAAGAGAGAGCGAGAGCTGGGTGCTGTGATGCACGCCTGTAATCCCAGCACTCAGGAGGCTGAGGCAAAAGGATCACAAGTTCAAGCCCAGTCTGAACAACTTAGCAAATCTCTGCCTCAAAATTAAAAAGGGTCAGGGCTGTAGCTCAGCAGTAACGCCCTGGTTCATTCCCCAGTACCACCACCAAGGTGAGGAGATAGAGAACTGATCCACGCTACAACAGGGATGAACCTTTCTATGTGAAAGAAGTGGTTACACAATGCAACATACAGTATGATTCCGTGTACATAAAATATCCAGAATAGGATATTCTGGGAGACAGAAAGCAGATCAGTGGTTCTCAGGGGCTGGAAGAGGAGCGAGGAAAACAGGTGTGACTAATGAGTTTCTTTTTGATGAGAACATTCCAAAGTCAATGTTAGTGGAGATTTACAGCATCACGAATTTACTAAATGCCACTGAGCTGTGCATTTTGAAATGTTTAAAGTGGTGGATCTTATGTGTTTCTACCACAATTTTTTTTTTTTTTTTTTTTTTTTTCTTGGGTTACCTGGGATTGAACTCAGGACCTTGTGCTTGCAAGGCAGGTGCGATGCCACTGAGCTAAATCCCCAGCCCCCATCACAATTTTTTTCCTCATTGAGTTTATTGGTACATTTTAGGTATACAGTACAGTTACATTCATTATTGGGATCTTGTACCTTGCTTTACATGACAGGTCTTGGTTCCCTATCACAATTTTTTAAAAAATGGAATGAAAAAATCTGCCTCTGCTGAGCATTTTGGATCTGAATGTGAGCTCTGCAAAATCACTAAAAGGATAAAGCACATGTAAAGGCCCCAAGCATGGAACAGGTGTCCACTACATAACAGCCATTACCTAACACATATCAACCTGTAGGTATTTACTTGGGTTTATGGCACAGTAGAATAACTGTAAGTCTCTAAGAGAAGAATATGCTACTTGAGAAAAGTGGACAGTGACCCAGCCAATCTGTTCTTTTCAATACTGAGAAAGAAATTTGAGAGAGTCAGCATTGCAATAACACATTCATAATCAGTTAAAGCTGTTATTATGATTCTGCTTTCAAACAATGGATTTTAAACAATGCTGGCATCTTTCAGATGATCCCACCCCCCCAGTACTGGGGATCAAACTCAGGATCTTGTGCTTGCAAGGCAGGCGGTGGAACCACTGAGCTAAATCCCCGGCCCTCAGATGATTTTATTTCAAATGAGATAAATAATCATTTAAGGATTTCCACAAGTCTTTACAAGGCTATCATGACAGTTTCTTATGAAGTAAGATTATCACAGCTAAGTACGGTTTTAATCTTTTTGCAAGAAATAAATATTGGTAACATTAATGCTTTGTTTTTAAAGGTAAGCAATAACAAAAAATACTACTAAGTTTACAAACAAGTTTTGGTCTTTATAATATGAATTTATAGTAGTGCCCCGATAACCGACTGTGGGTATACATTTATAAATTTATTGATTCAATGAATGAAAGTGTCCAGAAAACCCCCTCCACCCTCTTATAGTTGCCACCCTGGTTCTGTTCTCTCCATCACATTGAAACTTTTGAAAAAGTGACCTTCCGTCACTGACCATCTATATTTTTTTACAGTTTTCTCATTAAAACTAAGGAATCGCCATTTTAATGGATATTTTGGCCTCTATAAATTTACTGTTGTGAATCCTTCATTTGTTTGAGGGGGAATCCCATTTTCAAACTTTTAAGTCTGGTAAATTCACTAAAATTGCCACCTTGTAAGCTATCGCAGGGTCAGCCAGCCTGCGTTTGGAGAGTAAAGAGTTACAATGACCTCGATAATATTCAAAGCAATGCTCTTTAAAACAGAGTGGTCACACCTCTGGATGCTGACACCCCATAGTATCAGTCAGTATTTACTAGAGAAACAGACATAACACGAGATATACAAATATATGTGAATTTACAAGATTTGCTTACCGTGGCCGCCAGATGAGGAAGCGTGCAGAGGGCCTGACTGCACACTGGAGACCGAAGGAGTTTGTGAAAGGTCTGGAGCTCACTGCACCGACCCCTGCGAGTCCGTATCAGGAGGCTGGTGGGTGATGAAGGCTGGTGAGTCTACCCCGGAAGCTGAACTACCTGCACCGGAAGCCAAAAGCTCTGCGCTAGAAGCCAAGAGACGCCGTCCAAGGCGAAGACTGGAGCTCCTTTGAAGGAGCAGAAGTAGATCCTTTTTCATCTCCCCTTTATACCATCCAGGCGCTATCGGCCCCAGGGTGGGTCCTCCATACCCAGGGTGTGGAATCGCTTAGCTGATTTAGCTAAGATTCTCTTAAACAGCTCCTCCATCGGCCATCACACCCGAGGTTGGAGAAGGGCCAGGGTGGCTGGCGTCGGTACAGTAAAGCACTGCATAAAATACAGATTGGTGAGAATTCCTCAGTTGGATGACAGTGTGTATGAAAAGTGTAAATAAAGTGGATGGCATAGCTTAAGTACAGATTTATTTTAGGGAAATGAACAATTATAGTAAAACATACAAAAATGTACAAAAATATGCAATCAATAATTTATTAAATCACAAATTTAGAGGCAAATCGTTACTATAGAAAATGATGAAAATAAATTATAACTGCCAATGAAATATAATGCAGCCAATTAAGGAGCATAGCTATTAACACAGAAAATGTTCAAAACAAATTGGCAAATTAAAATAAGCCGTATATTTTATTTTAATTATAACATTTATTATGTATATGTGTACACATATGTATGTATGAATGTATGTATGGAAGGATTGTGACTTTCAGTTCTTTATTTTGATTTCTGCCTTCATTATAAAATTGATCATTTCTTCTAAAACATTTTCACGTACTCTAGTTCTTTTTTCAACTGTCTAGTCCACTGTTTAACCTTCCTGTTGAATTTTTCACTAAACTGACTATATTTTTATTTCCAGAGGTTCTGACTAGTGTTCTTCAAATTCACCCTGTCTTTTAAAATATTTTTTGTGGTACTCAGCGTTGAACCCAGTGAGGGCAGAGCCACCTTCCAGCCCTTTTATTTATTTATTTATTTACTTACTTGCTTATTTATTTTTGAGAAAAAGTAAACCTAAGTTGTCTGGGTTGGGCTCAAACTTGTGATCTCCTGCTGCTCAGCTATTTATTTTCTTTGTGAAAAAGACTACAGAATCAAGTTTCATAGTCTGGGCTGTGAAGATGTATTTGGGGTACTTCCGGTTTCTGAGCCTTTGCTCTCTCACTCGTGATAAACCGAACTGCAGCTAAGGATCAGGACCACATCCTAAGAACAGGAATCTTGTGATGGCCTGAGGTCATTTAGATAATTGTGATTGTAGTTGATTCTCATCTTTCACAGAATCTATATATGCAAATTCGGCTACTTTCTTGGCCCTTTGCAGAGTACAGAGCTGTGGAAAAATGAGTCCCGTGATCACAAAAGGCCAGGTTCTATGTTCTTCTTTCAACTTTCACACTGCAAACCGACGTCCCTTTCACAGTATACTTAGTATTATCTTTTTCACTTGCTTGCACTTTTTTAGCTGGTGATTTTCATGTTTAAAATGACTCCAAGCAACAGAGATAAATAAAGTGCCACCTGGTTTCCTAAGGGCCAGAGGCTGTGGTGCTCTTGTACATTTAAATATATTTTTTTTCCATTAAGTTTTTGGGATATTTAAAGCAAACAATACAGTTACATTTATCACTGGGATCTTGTACCTTTACATGGTGTATCTTGGATCTTGTTTCTTCCCCATACATACCCCTGCCATCCTTTCACCCCTTCCACCCTTCCCTATTTACAAAGACTTTGTTTCCATTTTTTTTCATTTTTTCACATTTTTTCATTTCCCTTACTTCCTTTCCTCTTCCCTTCCCACTTCTCTTTTAGCCATCTTCTTCCTATTTTTGTTTTGTTTTTTGGTACCAGGGATTGAACTTAAGACCTTGAGGTTTCGAGGCAAGCGGCAGAACCAATGAGCTAAATCCCCAGCCCTTAAATATGTAAAATTTTATTCATCAGTGATATCTCCATGAAGATGGACAAAGAGAGTTCAGGACCAAAAAAAAAAAAAAAATGAAGAGGCTGTATTATGCCTTAAGAGAAAATACAGTGGGAGATCATCTTTATTCAATCATGATGTGGTGCTGTTGGCAGGAGGTACAACCAAGTCAACAAGCCAGGCCCGGTGGTGCACGCCTATGATCCCAGCATGCTGGGAGGCCAGGACACCACAAATTTCAGCCCAGCCGGGGGATGTAGCTCAGTGCATAGGCTCTGGGTTGAGTCACCAGTACCACACAATGAAAGTCGACAACATACATTAAAGAGGATGTATTTGAACAGAAACTTGCATAAAACAGGGTTGTGTAAAGCATGAAATTGTAAAGTCATGTTGATGCAGACAGCAAGCTGTGTGGAAGGAGAGGGCAGGAGAGGTGATTTGTGTTTCACTGTCCAAATGGCGGGGGGGGGGGGATTCAGTTCTCAGTCCCACCTCACAGCAAGTTACCAGTGCTCAGATCCCAGCCAGGCTGGAGAAAACGAGGACCTACATGAAAGGAAGCTCAAATTAAAATTCACAAGAGCAAACCATCACTCTCTTTTTATTCTACCCTGATTCCAGAATAAGATAGATTCATTTAACTTGGGCATTATTTATCAATCTATGTATTTATTACCCATTTTCTCTCAGTATTTCTACATACTGAATTTTATAGTGAGAGATTTGGGGGGTTTTACTGTTCCAAATATTACCTCTATTAGTTTGATAACTGGGAAAACAGATTATTGAGTCCTTCATTATCTAGCAGTGGGAAAAAGGTATACAACACATACTTCAGTACCTACAGTGCATTTTTCAACAGACAATCAGAAGTTAAGAGTTAAGCATCATTAGCCATGAATATAATCTACGATGAGAGTCTGGAGTTTGGGTGTAGACATTCTTGGATGTCTTCTCTCCCTTATAGCTATGGATCCTAATCATACAATCGAACATCTCCACTCCGCTTCCCTCTGCTCTAACACAAGGGCACCATGCAGAGCCAAGGTATTCACCGAGCTGCAGATGAGTAGGTCAACAATATTCAAAATGCATTGGGCAGACTTCAGGGATCTCCAAGACCCTTTCAGAACTCTTTCCAAGGCCCAGTCAGAACTCTTCCACTGTCACTCTAACACATTTTTACCAGGCTGGCATTTGCACAGAAGCCACAAAAGCAGCGGTAGTAAAACTACAGGCCACTTAGCCTAACTCAGGGCTTTGTCACCAACCTGTGTCAGCAGCCAGTGTATGTGTCACTGCCAGGCACTCAAAGTAAAATTGCCCCTTTCCTTTACCACTGATGAGGCAGTAAAATTTAGTAATTAAGTAGAAAATCAACTCTGTGTGCAATACTTTTGGTTCACAAATCAGGAAAAATCAATGAAGCACTTCTGGTGCACACCCAAGTGGGATGGTTGTCTTGAGGCAAAACACCTTGTGAATTTTTTGAATTGCCAGCTAAACTAGACACTTATCTTGGAACACCACTTTTACATCAAGAGTAACTTACAAACAAACTAAGTTTATTCGGGCATTGGCGTTTGGCAGAGATTTCTTTAAAAATTAAATGGCATGGTCTGCTACCTTGAGAAACACAGCTGGTAATAACATTTGGGACTATGAAATGAGCATAAATATATTGGAAAACCTGTGTCTGTCACACGGAGCTTGTCACCTTCCAGTAACAAAGAGTGTCTCACTAAAAAAGCACACAAGAGGAGGCATGCGCTTCTGGGCATCTATGCGGCCCGTCCCCTCCGCTAGAATGCTCCTCCTCAGTTCTGCCAGCTGCATCACCTACGTGAGCCCTACTCTGACCACCCTGACACTGACAGTTGAAATGCATCCTTCAGGATCCTCAGGCACGCGTGTGTGCGTGTGTGTGTGGTGCTGGGATGACTCTGGGCTCACACGTGCTCAGCGTACGCCCCACTGCCGAGCTGCACTTCAGGCCAATACTTTTTTTTCATCCCTCAAGACTCAGTTCTCCTTACTTTTCTCTCTTCTTCCTCTGTGCACCCCCGTAAGACTTACCACACCTTCCAGCAGTCTATGCAATTTATTTATTTAGCTTTTATTTATTCTCCATCTCAACCCACTAAAATAAGCTGCTAGAGAACAAATTCATTCATTTTGTTTACTTTATCTAAGCCCATGAAACAGAGATCAACACATTGTAGACATTTGATACACGTTCATTAAATTAACAAGTGTTTTTAACAAAAATAGTTCATATAAGTATATTCCATTTTTAAAACCTAAGATTATCAAATTGTTAAGGGTCATTATTTTTATTATAGTGCATATTTCATGCTTCAAATTTTTCTTTTTAAATTTTTTATTAATATATGTTCAGGATGCATAATAAGTAATTCACCACGGGGAATTGGGACATACGCATGTCCCATCTTGATCTGTTTTTGCTTTCCTTCCCCTCCCTCCCTCCTGTTTTCCCATCATCAGGTCCCCTTTCCATCTCCACAGAGTATGTCTCTCTGCTTCCCGTACTCATTCTGTTATTCTCTTTATTTATATCTTGAGTTTCTCATATACAAGAAACCATGCAATATTTAACCTTATGTGTCTGACTTATTTCACTTAGCATTGTGGTCTCAGTGATACCTGGTTATTTGACAGATCAGAATATAGAATAGGAGGTGTAGCTCACTGGTAGAACTCATGCTTAGCATGTCCCAGAATCTTCAATATTCACACTGCCCAAAAGAATCAGAATACATATGTTCACATATATGCACATATATTGACACACATATTAAACACACACATATGCATACACATACATAGGCCAGCCCAAGTTGCCATTCTGATTCAGAATTTCATCAGAATTCCTTTTTCTTTGAAGCTACAATAAGCCTTTCTGTCACATTCTGCCTTATTTTGTCATCCATTTCTTACTTGCTTGCTTCCCTCCGTAGATCCGAGCTTTCTCAGGCAGCACAAGCTCTTGTCTACTTTGGCACCTGCCCAATTGAGATTCTGACTGGTCATACTTCAATGACCAAACATTTTAAAAATCAGACTAGATTAATTTAAAAACTGGCATTTATCATTAAGTAAACATTAACCTTTGACAAGTACTGGGGCTAAGTAAACAAGAACCTTGCCAATTTCTGCATGAAATTTCTGTAGAGAAGTCAAAAATAAATATCAAGAGGAATTATCTATGGGTGTCTTTTTATTTCAAAATACATTTTCAAACTATAGTTTTTATGATATCAAGATTAAATATTAACTTCAACTTACTATTAAGTCATGTCCAATTGATAGTTTGAGACCTGGCTTTGGTTCAAGTGATGAGTTGTCATAGATCTTTTCCTTTTCCTGCAAACCTGCTGAATCCCTGAGTTCCAAACACCAGAAATAAAAATCAAGGGGTGGAAGAGGGAGAGAGAATGAATTTTCACGTTCAGAGGAATCTGAATCGGGCCACACTGAAATGCAGAGTGACAGAAGCAAGGTTTATGAGTATATATGACTTACTGTCTTTTCCTGGAAAACAGGGTAAGGTAGAAACAAAGAACATGGGTTCTGTTAAAAGCAATGGTTACGAATAATTCATAATAACATGGAAATATGCTTTGCATTGTAATGACAAGAAAAACAGCTAGATAAAAATTACACGTGTAAAATAATCACAACCCTGTTAAACAAAACATGAAACATTACATTTAGAAGAAGATAACAAAGAATATAATCAAAATATCAACCATGATTGGCATTAAATGATGTAACTTCCAGTGACTTTCCCCTTACTTATTTTTTTCATGAATGGTTGCAATCTTCTTATATTTATTTTATAATTGGAAAAAGAGTAAACTTTTAAAATAATGGAAATAGTAAAAAGAAGGAAGAGAAAATGTGAGTTCCGGAGTCGTAGTGATCTGAGTTCAAATCATTTACAAGTTGAAACATACTGGGCAAGCCAAGGAGTAAAATAATATTTACCACCTATTGGTTTTCAAAGCCTTAAACACACCAATTCTTAGACCAAGCAAAAAGAATCAATCTATATACCCATGTGTAAAGGGCCCTGTATGTAAAAGACCCACAAAATAATGCATAAAAATGCAAGTCTCTGTCACATCGGCACTGGTTTGCTGCAGTCCCTAACTCTAAATGTGTTCTCATTTTCTCAATAAACATTTCTGAAACCCAGAGAAATGCTTCTCCGCATCTTTTAGGATGTAGATCTGGAATGTGCCCCAAACGGTTACGTGCTCAGTGGTAGGGCCTTCAGAAGACAGTTGGGCTCTCAGGAGCTCACAGCTACACACCGGCCTTTCACCACGCCCTCCTACCTCAGAGCCAGCTACAGACTGAAACATCGAAGCTGAAACATGAACTGTGTCCCAGTGAAAGACACTGACTAGGACAGCAGATATAAAAGGAAGTATAGCTCAATGACAGAGCACTTGCCTATCACATTGGATTCAATGCCCAGCACTGCAAAAAATAAAATTAACACTGCAAGTAGTCATAAAAAGATTTAGTTGGATTTAATTAAGTTTTAAAGACATTAAATAAAAGTTCAGTTTTATGTGAATAATTTTGATTTTTATTGACTAAAAATATATTTTTATCTTTAAATTTTAAGAAATGAAATTAACAATATAAGACAAATAACTTCAAATCGCTAGAATAAACCGGGCCAGGGATTTAGCTCAGTGGTTCTGCCTTGCAAGCACAAGGATCCGAGTTCAATCTCTGGTACCAAAAAAATAAATAAATAAAATACTAAAATAATTTCTAATTTTTGTATTTATTTCAATTTGTATTTTTAAAATTCACTGAAAATTTATAAATTTAAACATTTCATTTTTTTAGTCCCTTAGACCATAAAATACAATATATGTGAAATTTTTGGTTATAGTAACATGTTTAATTATTTTGCTGAAATAAAGGCAAGAAAACCAATCCTGTCAAATAAGCATGTGTTGTGGGTTGAATTGTGCTCTTTCCCAAAATTCATCTGTTAGGACCAAGGATATAGCTCAGGGGTAAGGCTGATTGATGCTTAGCATGCATGAGGCCCTGAATTCAATCCCCAGCACCAAAAACAAACAAAAAAATCATGTGTCCAAGTCCTAAATCTCAGCACCTAAGAATGTAGCCATATTTGGAGCCAGTAGAAAAGCCATTTGAGGTTTAGGATAATTTTGTCAGTTTATGAAAAAAAGTGCTAATATTTTCATAGGAATTACAGTGAATCTGTGACTGTTTCAAGAGTGCTGGCATCTTTAATTAATAACATTAAATCTTTCAACCCACAAACATGGGTGTCTTTCCATTTATTGAAATCTACTCTAATTTCTTTTCATAATGTTTTTAGTTTTTATTTAGAAATCTTTCCCTTTTGTTAAAGTTATTCCTAAGTATTTTGTTCTTCTTTTATTATTATGGTTGGGATTATTTTTATACTTTCAGATTATTCATTGATAGTTTATAGAAAACTACTGATTTCTGTACATTGATCCTGTATCTCACTTCCTTGAGTAAACTTTTATTTATCAGCTCTCATAGTTTTTCTGGATTCTTTGGGGTTTATTTTCTGTGGATGTGATCATTTTTATCTTCATATAGATAGTTTTTCCTTGCATTTTCCAGTCCAGGTGTCTTCCATTTCTTCTTCTGACCTAAATGTGCTGGCTGAAACCTTTATTACAGAACTGAATAAAAATGGCAAGAATGGAGGGACTGTGTTGTCCCGATCTAAAGGGAGGCTCATTAGCTGTTTGACTTGGACGTTAGATACCTAACGCCCCTGTGTTCAGTTTCCTCATCAGCAAATGGGAACAATAGTACCTGCTGTGAGGTCTTTGTGTACATTACAGACTCAGAGCACATGAGCCAGCGTGGGACACAGGTCGTCTGCCCTTAGCCGTTCACTGCTAAAGATGACAGGTCCTGGCATCGCCATGCTTAGTGTGGCCAACAGGGTGGCCAAATAGCAGGTCAGTTCCTAAATGTGGATATCCGCGTTACAAATGATCACTATTACATCACAGGTATCCTCCTTCATACACAAAAGGGAATTATCCAGATTAAATGTATCCGGGAAGTTGTTCCTCGTGTTATTTTTGGGAAAATAGTTATCATAGAATCCAAATGAATCAAAGGGCCTTCAGAGAGCTGCCAGTAGGTGGCAGCCCAGATGTGTGCTTTAAGGGGCCGAATCACCTTTAAAACCGCAAATGAGGGTCTCACGGGGCTTGAACTCGGAACTGAGTTCTGAACTCATTCCCGGTGATCCAGCAAGTCAGCACCCACTGTCCTAATTCGCTTTGGGCCGGAGCTCTTCTCTTACTAGGCAGGTTTTTTCTGTACTGTTGGGAGTTTATTGCTCTTAACTGTCTCCATGGATGGGTAAATATAATTTAGTTTGATTTTGTTTTGTTTTGTTTTTGGTACCGGGGGTCGAACTCAGGTCCTTGTGCTTGCGAGGTAGGCGCCGGAACCACTGAGCTAAATCCCCGGCCCAATTTAGTTTGAATATTTTAAAAATCTTCTAGTTTTTCTTGCTATCGTTCCTTTTTTTTTTTCTTGAGAAGCAGGCAGCGGAAGTACTGAGCTAAATCCCCAGCCCTATCTCTTTAGTAACTTTAGAGCTGGCTAAGTAAGTTTCCCTCAGTTTTTCATTTTATTCTAAAGCTTTGTA